CCCAATGCACTTTAGGTACGTGGCCGGCTTCATGAAGAGTTTTCATTCGACTATTACATATTGATCAGCTTTATATTTGAATCTCCTGCGATTGGTGAATTCTTCGCCGATCTCCCACGTGCTAAGGTATCAGATGTATGAGCTCGTCCAACTTTTCTTCTTCTTCTGATGTATCTCCATTGCTAGTAGTTCTCCGATCGAGGGTCGACCGAGCTTTATAGGTAGTCGTTCTTCTAGATGAAGGCTCTGGGATAGAAGGTCAACAACTTGATTTTCCTCCCTTCGGACATGTTCGATTTTGAAACTGGTAAATCGACCAATCTCCGTCTTCACCTTCTTTAGGTACTTCACCATAGTCTCGTCCCTAGTTTCAAATTCCCTGTTGATCTGGTTCACTATGAGTTGCAAATCGGCCTTTACCATGGTATGGAGGACTCCCATCTCCGAGGCTAGACGAAGTCCTGCAATCAAAGCTTCATATTCCACTTGGTTGTTAGTCAATGGAAAATTTAGTCGATTGAGTGGTAGACGCTTTCCCCCGCAGGAATGCACAAGAAAACTCCAAGTCCAGCACCTACTTGGCCGGATGCCCCATCGAAGAACAGCATCGAGTTCGATCTGTCGATCGCCAGTACTCATTTTTTCCTCTCGATTCGGAGAAAGCTGCAACAGCTTTTGCCTTTATCGCCGTTCGTGGGATATAGGAGATGTCAAACTCGCTGAGTTCCACGATCCATTCGAGTAGTCGACCAGAATGCTCTGACCTGGTGACTTGAATGGGGTGTACCTGAAAATATGGTTAACCAAGGCAAAGGTCAGTTTCTTCATTATTGGATACCGGAGTTCGGAGCCTTTGAGGACCCGGTTATTGTAGTACATTGGATGCTGCTTTTCGACTTCTTCTCTGACCAAGTCTGAAGTGACAGCTTCAGGGCCGACTCCGAGGTAAAGATAAAACTTTTCTTTGGTTTCGGACTCTGAAGGAGGGGAGAGGCAAGTAATTGCTTGAGGTTCCTGAAGGCCTCTTCAAACTCAGATGTTCATTTGAAGCATTTGGCTCTCTTGAGTACTTTGAAGCATGGGGCGCAGTTATCACCTTACTTGGAGATGAACCTACTCAAACCTGCGATTCGACTGGTTAGTTCTAAATTTCCTTGGTGTTTTTAGGGGTGACATATCGAGGAGTGCTTGAGTCTTTTTCGGGTTAGCAAATAACTCAGGAATTTGCCAGTCGCGGCCGCAAAGGTGCACTTCAGTAGGTTTAGTTTTTTGTTATACTTTTCAACTGTTAGAAAGGTTTCTTTTAGATCTCAATATATTGTCCGACCGGCCAACTCTTAACCAGTACATCATTGACATACACCTCAGTGTTCCTTTGTTATTAGCAAAATTTACATTCATGAGGCGTTGGTAAGTCTCCCTGGCATTTTTAAGCCCAAAGGGCATTACATTGCAACAAAAAACTCCCTCACAAGTAATAAAAGCGGTCATTTTCGCGTCAGCTGGGTGCATATTGATATAATGGTGCCTGGATAATGTGTCGAGGAAACTTAGGACTGAGTGGCAGACCACCGAATCCACCAGAGCATCGGTTCTTGGTAGAGGGTAAGAGTCCTTTGGGCAAGCAGAGTTCAGGTTGGTGAAGTCCAGGCACATCCTCAATTTTCCATTGGCCTTCTGCACTATCACCACATTGGAGACTCAGGTGGGGTATTAGACTTCTCGAATGTACCTTGCCTCCTCCAGCTTTTGTACTTCCTCTCGAATCGGTCCCGCCAACGTAATGGCAGAGCTTTTGATCTTCTGCTTCATGGGCCCAGCTGATGGATCGACGTTCGATTTGTGGCAAACGACGTCGATCGACACATCCAACATCTCAGCGGTCGTCCACGCGAAAACATCTCGATTTTCTAGGAGGGTTTGGATCAACAACTTACTGTGACCTGCATCAAAAGCTTCACTTATCAAAAAACATCAACCTTGTTCTCCTTCGATGCAGGAACCTCATGGTTGTCTCGTTGGTCTCACGACCACCTTCCTTACGTTTGGATGTCCAAAGAATCGTGCTTTATGTTGCTTATGGCTCGCAGGGAGCAGACCCGAGACTGCTCCAGGTCCCCCTGACCGTGATAATTTCTCCATCTCCAGGAAACTTGACAACAACATGGAAAGTAGAGACCACTGCTATGAAATTGTTCAACAGCAGTCCGTCGAATATAGCGTTGTACATTAGGGGTGAATCCACCATAAGGAAATCTTCCGTGAGCATAAATTGTTTCTCGTTTTCTCCCCAACTTACCGGGAGGTCGACCACTCCCAGCACTTCCTTCCTTTCGCCCGAGGATCCATAGAGCAGACCAGACAACGTAGTCATCCAATCGACATTGAGGCTCATTTTGTCGAATACCTACTCAAATACTACATTTACAAAATTCTCTGTATCAATGAGAACGATTCCTACTTGATAATTGTTGATTATCACTGTTACTACAATGACGTCATTATATGGATTTCCCTTTGGGGGAAGATCCTCGTCGGTGAAATAAATAAGCAAATAGCCCTAGGGTTTCGAGACAAAGGCCGTGGTGCAGAGTTCCCCGTTTGCTGTCTCTTCCGGCTTATCCTCCTTAGTGGTTCGCTTCCTCTAAAGATTGCGGGCACATACCCCACAATGTGAATGACGTTAGTGCCGATGGACATGTCGAACGTTCCTCCCACCGGAGCTTTGCCATGCCTTTGGGTTGCGGCTCTAGAGGCGACAAATTCTTTCAACTTCCCCTCATTTATCAGCTCATTGCTCATGCTTCATAGGTGTCTGCATTCTTTTGTATCGTGTCTGTGATCTTTGTGTACTTACAATATTTTCTGTTATCTCGAGTTATCTCGAAGAAAAGCTCCCAACCATCATCAGCGTTGCTTTCCTAAAGAACTCCTATCATGGATGGCGTCCACTAATTCTGTCATGGAAACCCTGAGTGCGATTTTGCAGGGGGACCCTAAGATTATACTGGGGGTGTTCAAGATGGTATGATGATCGATGGTTCTGGGCCTTGGTTTGTCGCCTCTGACAGTTATGATGCCGGGTGGAGTGATTGTCGGAGTGACACTCATGGAGGGGGCGGTTGAACGGTCGTGCACTTTGTTGGGTTGTCCTTTGTTGTCTTGTGGCGGTTTCTTCCGGTGTCTCTGTTCGACGGGCTCAGAAGCATTCTCATAGGGGACAATATACTTGTTGGTCATTTCTAACAGCCCTCCCAAGCTTTGTTGTACTGGGATTTGAGGTCGAAACAAAACCTCTTCAACTTCACTCGTGTCAGTGCAGCCTGGGCTATGTTGGGCTTCAAGTCCTTGATGTCTAGCGTTTCACTCTGGAAGCGCGCGATAAATAACCGCAAGCTCTCGTTGGCTCCCTGCTTCATTTTCCATAGGGATTAGGCGCTTTTCTTAGGCCTCGGAGCACTGACAAACTGTGATAGACAGAGTTTCTTGAACTCTACAAAAAAGATGATTCGTCGAACCACCTTAATGCAATTGATCTCAACATCATGAAGAAAAGCCTACACTTGAGGGCATAAAAAATTTTCAACAGGCATATTCGAACGACGCGAGATGGTCATTAGGATCCAACCGTCCTTTATATGGCTCTAAAACTGGCATCTTGAACTTCTCTGGATGTTCAACTCTGGAGACCTATAGGGATAATGCATTTTTTGACTGCCTTTGTACATCGGTCCAATCTGGTCAGTTTCTCTCCTCCACGAGGGCGAATCCGGCGCTGTCATGGTATAGACCGTCATCGAGCTTTTCCTACAGGTAATCAACCTCCTTCCATTGTTGGTTGGTGGTTCCCCTTGAGGGGGTTGAGTGCTACTTGTCGTGTTGGAACTTCTCTTAGATCCGGGGTCGTTGCTAAGACAGAGACCGCCCTAAGTACTACGAACTGTCCTAAAATCCGGTTGGTGATCTAAATTCTCAAATCTTGCAGGCCTTGTTGAATGAATTCTTCCATAAACTCTTGAGTGCAGGATGTTTCTCCTACGTTCTTCTGACTGGACTCTCCCCGCTGCTGTTGCTAAGCTTCTCTTCTTGTTGACGGTAAGTTTACATGCTCACCACGCTTTGAAGGATGTTGAATCCAAAAGTGTCTGAGAAACACACCTAATGAATAGAACATTTTGCTAATAAGTGATTGAGAGGAGAGAGAAAGTGTGTGTGTGTCCGTTATTCATGACCAGGACCCTTATTTATAACATTAGGTCTTAGCATTACAAAAGTACATATTAGCCCCCTTATCATTAACTTTTCAGGGGGACTTTTAGGTAATTACAGATTTATTCGCATATAATAAGATCGGGGGCTGATTCGATCGATGAAAGTTGTGGATCGTCAAATAAACCTTGACTCGATCGATATCTAGTCTGAAAAAGTGTTCCTTGTCGATCGTCTTGAAAGCTATTTACCGCTCTGTTGGAGCTTCTCCCGGTGCCTTCCGGCGATCGTCCGAACAAGATGCTTCTTTTGTCAATATTCAGCTAAAAAATGATCGACAAAGAAACTGTTCAATCATCTGCATATTCTTCCTGAGCCGTTCATCTGCCTTGAGATTCATGCTGACATATTTTTATGTAAAATAATATAAATTAAATTTATGAACTTAAATTTTATTCTAGTGTTATTTGTATTGTGATATTTTGAATAAAGAATAATAAACAAATAGATTTTTTACATCAATAACTAATTACATATAAAAACGATTCCATGAAGTGTCGTGTCTAATTTTCTTTAATTATGTTGTATCCCCATATCGTATCATGTCGTGTCCGTGTTTCATAGGTAAAAAATCTTGAAAGTGCACATACAAGAAAATCTAAACAATGAATACTTAGTATCATTTAAATGCCCAAACTGTAACTGGAATAATTCATTGAGAAAATTTATTCACAATACGAACCAGAGCTTTGAATAAAGAAGAGTCAAGAAGACAATTCATAAGCCATTACCTAGTGCTTTCTTGCTGCGCAAAATGTCTCCATAAATGTGGTCTCCAACATAAAGGACCTGTAAGCATGAATGAAGCATCGTAACAACATTTTGCAAGGTTCACAAGGTATTGATAAGGAGCATGTATTATATGCACTGTCATGAAAATGCCAAGCCACAAGAAGAATAATCCCTGGTATGAGAATGATTGACGTATTAAACAAATAATCATTAAAATATTTAAACGGGAAGAACTTTGTTCTACATCATATTAATTTAAGTAACAGTCTGCATATTAGAAGGTACAGAGTCACCATTCAAATGGAATCGATAATAAAAGTATTTATAGCAGTATCATTAATTAAATCTTAAAGAGTAAGGATTAGAAGAAATTTGTTCAAATAATCTCTCAGCAGGGTAAGGCATCTTTCTCCTAAAATAGAGAAAAACTATGAAACAAACACATTTCTTTTTTTTAACAAACATTTGGAGACTTAGTACCTCTTATTTTAAAAATTCAATGAACTGATTATTAAATTAATAGTATTTATTGGCATTACAAACAATTGCATTTACAAGGATTTTCAACTTTGTCCTGCAATAGACCAATACCTCCGTCCCAAACAATGGTTAGATGCCTACATAATAGCATAAAAAATAATAGGTGTTTATGAAACTCCAGCCAAGTTGATATCGGAGTTTAACCCAAATCATGATGCAAGACAAAATTTTACTAATGACTTAAACAAGATTACAATGAAAACTTAAAAGAATCAAAGACAATACACAAAGCAAAAACATAAAATAAAAGATTACAAATAAAGACTCGACAAAAGGAGATACAACAAGCTGCCAAGGAGAAAGTCCGAAGAGGCAGTGCTAGATCGGTGGTTGCGGTAAAGACCAGAAAGATGTTGGACAACTGTGGAAGAGTAGGACAACAAGTCAACGATCGTCAAGGCGTCGAACCGTAGCTGGAAGAAACAACTGGGTTGTGGTAGATAGGATCTGGAAGGGGCATCAGACAATACGGCCTGCAAGGAAGCTGTTGGTGGCTCGAGGGTTGTGACAGCCTGTTGGCGGAGGGGCAATGGCCTACTGGAAGAAGAGATGAGGTGGTCTGCTGGTGGCTGCAGGGTTGCGGCAGCCTGTAGGAAAAGTAAGGGGCGACAGCAATCTGCCGTAGGGCTGGGGAGCAGGTGGACAGCAGTGAGAACAGTGGAGGGATAGATAAATATCTCGGTGGAGTCGAGCTACATCTGAAGCACCACTTGGACCTGGACACGATCACCACCTTGGATGAGGGACAACTGAAGCACTTCTTCGATGTCGGATACAGCTCACGAATGGGAAAACTTTGAGATAAAACCTGAATTCATATGTCAAAACCCGACCCCTAACTCTAAGCACATCATCCTATATTTATAAAGAGGTTGGACTTATTTTAAGGAACACTTAAACTAAGGAAGGGGAAAAAAATATAATCAAAATTTCAGATTTTAAAAAAGAATTTAAAAATAAGGAACAAAAATAAAACCAGAAATTTAGATTTTAGGAAAGGATTTAAAATAGGAAAGTGCAAGGAAAGAAAGAAAGGAAGGGGATTATAATGGAAATTCAGATTTAGGAAAGAAGAATACAAATATTCAAAAATTCTAATTTTAGAAATACTTATATCAGGAAGATGCAAAGAATGTAAAAGGGGAATAAGAGAGAAGGGAAAGGGAGGAGCGGCAACCCCCCTCCCTTTGAGGACCGGTCGTTCCTCCACAGCCCCCGCGTCACAGATTCAAACTTTTTGTTTTCATCTCTTGGAATAAAACTTGAAAAAAATTTTTAGACATAGGAAATTAATAAGAATCTCATCTTGTTTCTTGTCTAGTTTCAAATGTAATTTCAATAAATAACCCAATAAATTCAACCATTCAAAAAGATATAAAATTAATTGAACTTCATATTTTTTCAAACTTCCAATAATTTGATCATTTTCTCTCCAAATCATCATTTTTGAGATCCATTTTTTGTTAATGCTTCTAATACAATTGTATTTCATACACCAGAGTAAGCTGAAAATAAGCAAATATGATTTATTATTGTTAGAATTCAGAAAGATACAGAAATAAAATGACATGAACACAAACGGGACCCTAGGGCGAGGGCGAAGGTGATGAACTCTAGGTGGACAACAAGTGTGGGGGTGGTTTGAGAGGCTACGACAGCAAGGAACTGTAGTGCTGGGAGGATGCGACAGCAGGTTAGGTGCAGGGGAAGATTGGTGGAAGCAAGGTAGGTACAAGGGGACTTGGCGACAACAGGTTGGGCGTAGGAAGGCTTAGCGATCGTAGGGAAGGTGCGGGAAGGGCTAGGAGACAACAAGGAAGGTGCAGGAAGGTTTCGCCGCAATAGGAAAGATGCACGAAGGATTTGGTGGCAGCAGAGACGGCGTTGGATGGCTTGGCGGTAGCAGGGAAGAGAGGTGCAGCAAAAGACTGACAAGATAACCACCATCTCAGAGCAGGATATAGTTGGGTCACCACCTGTCCTCAGATACAACCTAAATAGGGAATAGACTCTTCACAACAGAAAATCTGAATAAAAAAAGCAAAAACCGAACCCTAACACACAAACAATATAAATAGTGCCAAAAATAAAATAGGAGATGGAGGAGGACGGTAATTCCTGCCCCTTAAAATAGTCGATCGTTCCAGCCTTCTGCTAAACCAAAACCCCAGTTGAACTGATTGGGTCGGTTCAGCCAAGTCAAGCTACTGAACCGGTTGGGCTGGTTGGGCCAGGTCAAGCCCCGCGTTATATCCCAGGATTGGAAGAGCTTCAATTTCATCCGTCGAAGCTTTTGGGCTTTCGTAGTATGGTGTGAGGTCCGTGACATTGAATGTGGCAGAAACATTGTAGCCTCTGATAGGTCAATCTTGTTCGCTGACCTCCATGCCTCAACACTGCTCCTTTTTCCACACCAGATACATCACACTATACCTAGGATGACTAGTTGAATTTTGGTAATGCCAAGATTGGCGTCTGGGTCACCTTTTCCTTGAGTGCATTGAAATTATTCTGAGTTGCCTCTGTTCGCTGGACTTCGTCTTTCTTCAAAAGGCTTGTCGAAGGAGCGGAGAAGATACTGAAGATCCTGATGAATCGCCCGTAAAATGACGCCATTACCAAAACTTCCTCGGCTCGATGAACAACTACTGTGCGGGTCAGCTCACATGGCCTAGTTCTTTATAGGATTCATCCGAATGTCTATATTAGAGAAGATCTTGCATCAACATTTTTCTTAATTTACTTTGAATCCTAGACATAATAAATCTAGGAATTCGACAAATTTTAGTTAAATCAATATTATTTTTGTCATCAAGAGTTTTAGCCATGAGCAGAAAGCAAGGATGGATGAGAGAGAACAATGAAAAGTTGGCATTGGTGGTAGCAATTAGAAAGAGAGTGGACTGGAGTCCTCAGGAAGGAGTAATTATTATGCATGAACACTTCTAATTAAAAAGTAATGCAATGCCGAACACAGACATGCCTCTAACATGTGTTGGATACGACATAAAAGTGTCCCATTTAAATAATATTTTGAAAAAAAATGACATATGTTGAACACACATGTCCAAAATTAATTAATTAAAATAATTTTAAAATATTTTAAGATTATCATATAAGAAAAAAATAGTCAAATTTTTTATTTAAAAGTGAGTGAAACTTATCTTGATGTAATATAAGATAGTTAGTGCTTAGTTTTACTATGCCATAAACTAAATAATATTTCTAAATCCTTTAAATTTTTTAATTAATGTTATTAAATTCCTTATTATCTCTTATTTATTATTAGGTAAAGTTTTTTTTATTTAATTTTTATCTATTTTTTATAATTTATATTAAGAAAATTTACATACATACCACTCAATTCTTATGTATTTACATATCCAACACCTAAACTTCAAATTTTACATATATGCCACCTTAATTATACATGAAAAGGTGTATTCACCTTTCAAAAGTTTTAAAGGTCGTATTTTCGATATGATATGAATGATTCGGGAGGTATATATGTAAAAAATAAAGTATGTGTGTTAGATATGTAAATAGAAAAGAATTAGGTGGTGTGTGTTTAATTATCCCTTTATATTATAATGTTTTGTTCGACATGCATTCATGTTCTATCTTTTTAAAAATATAAGTGTCACATTGTGTCGTGTACGTGTCCTCGTGTCCTTTTTTTCTATAACAACATGCATATTAAGCTTTGATTGAGAGTTCGAGACAACTAGCAATGTAACATTTAATAAAGATGATTGCAAAGTTGTTATAGAAAAAATAACTTTTTTAAAGCTTATGTGGGTATTATAAATATTTTTTTTTTTAAAGTTGAGCAACAACTTCTTACAACTACTACACATTTGTAGACTTCGCTGCAAAAAATAGCTCCCTGTCATAAATATTTTCAAAAAATAACAAGAAGATGGTAGTCAAACAGAAGTATGACAACAATCTACTACTATCTGAAGAAGCGGTGATAAAGTATACCAAAAATTGAGAACTTCAATTTTTTTATTTGAGAGATGAATTTCTTATATTAACTGCAGGATTTTTTCTTTATTTTTTTAAACAAAATCAATCAACAAATGTGTAAAATGAATCATGCAATTCCTCATTTTTATCAGGCCTCTGATTGTGTTTTGCCTCTCATGGGAACAAATTTTGCATTTCACCTTCGTGAAGCAATCGTAAATATTCTAGACGTTTCAAACATCTCAGCATAGTTCATTTTGTGAAAGAATGATGCTTGAGAAATTTTGATTGCAATCGAGTTATCTAAGCCTGATTTACTCAAATTTGTATCCACATTGTCAAATTTTTGTCATACTTTGATCGAATCAATGAGTGATTGCATTCAAGACATTCAAGCATGATTTTTATCTATCCTGGGAATTCTAGATGTGGTATCTAAAGCATTTCAAAAACAGAAAAAAATAGGCAAAACTACCAAGAGCTATACTTAGCTTGCTTCCGCTCTGACCAAAGTCACAGCTTTAATACATAGAAGAGGCATCACTGCAGTGCAAACACAAGGTTGCATGCATAAATCCTACCTTCATGCATAAACGCATCTGTAGCCTCCATGCACCATATGTAGCATAAATCCTACCTTGTGCATTGAGTGTAGCCTCAATCCACCATGTGTGCAAAAGGTTACAGAAAAACACTGCTAATTAAATAATAATAATCACTTGCTGGAGTATGACAAGCTAGCTAGGATTAGAAAGAAAAAACTTCAACATAAAACCTAATGACTCAAATCCTCAATCTGAAACCTAGTAATAGAAATTTTCACCATACATACTAAAGCGAGGTAAAACCTAGTTCATGGCAAGATTATGAGAAAATCATTAATTACCTGATAACTTGCTTCTATTCCAAGTAGTTTATGAAGATGAGCAACGTTTCCGCCCTGAAAATGTTGAGCACATGCTTTCTAAATCAATAATAGGTTGAAAAAAAAATTTAAATGAGTTGGTTTTGCAAGATTTTGATTTTAAATGTTGAAACCAGTATCCTGCTCACATCCAAAGCTTTAAATTTAACTTGAATGTCCCATTATTGACCATCAGGCAGAAAGAATACATCATATATTGATTTGAATAAACTTCATTTTTTTGCTTAAAGTAATTTATCTTCATTATAAATAATTTGTTTAAAATAAATTAAATATTAGGAAAAAATTAAGTAAATTAATCCAATTAAATCCATGTACGCAATATACTAGAGGTTAAAGTAATTGCCTTTCCTGTAAGTAAATATTCCACTTATATTTCATGAAAAAAAACTATAAACCTACAAAATAACTCTTAAATATATTTGCAATAAAATGGTTGGATGGATATGTATGTATGTATATTATCTATTATTTAGAGAGAAATAATGAGCACCCTAAAAGATCACCACAATTCTATGAAAAAGGTATTCTGGAGAATAACTTATAGATTGATCTATGGCATGGCCATTGCACTCATCATGTTCTCTGGACTCAGTTTCACTTGTCAAGACCTATGGGCGATCAGATTTGACCATTTGCATGCATCGTTGGTCATTTTCGAGCGAGATGATCCCACTCTTAGTCTTCCTTTATGCTTTTTCATGTGCATGTTGCATCTGATGTTAGGGAGCAAGCATCTTCTAAAAGATAAAAACACCTTTTTGTGTTGGGCTCGCGGCCCTTCAGTCTTCCCTCTTGGCGCCTAGAGTGAAGCCCTTGCTGGCTCAATACGGTTGTCTACCATTTAATTTTTGTTAAATAACTACCAGCCTTTGTCAAACTTCCTCACTTCCCTAAATATGCTTCATTCCTAAATCTCCAAACCATCTTCATAAATGCCTTTTTCTCAAGTTGTTTCCCTTGACTAGGATATTCCTTTGCCACCAATGATCTTGATGTCTGCAGTTTCTTCTATGGTTCTTTCTCTGGATATCTAACCATCTATGGCTACCATTTCTCCTGAAGTTGGTGGTCCTTGGTACTTCTCCGCAGTTGTTGAGGTTCGATGGCTCCAAGCTCTCAAAGAGCTTTGTCTACCATATTTCTCTTATTCTTTTACCATGGTTATATCCTCAAAAGTACCAACAATCTTTCACGTTTTCTGGTAAACTAGCTCTCAACTTCACTGCGTATAAGCTTTCTATGCTATCTACTCCACTCTTTTTCTACAGCGGGCAAGTTCTCAACTGAGGCATCCCAACAGTGAGACTATTTGTAAATTTATGTTAGACTTGTATCTGTTTGGAGAATAATCTACTGGATTCTTTAATCCTCATCTCATTATTAATAGATTATCGGTCGAACTATATTACTCAATATTTCTCTCAAGACAATCTTACAATATTTGTGAGTATTTTAAAGCCGTCACCTCACTCTAGCCCATTCATGGAATATCCTATCCCTCAATTTAGGTTTCATTTCCTTGGTTGAAGCTAAACTAGTTCAATCAGTCTAAAATATATTCTCTAGGTTCTATCTTTAGCAGCTCTTAGATGTTTGTAATATTATAACTCGTCAATGACAAAGTTCTAAAGAATTCAGTCCTAAAGAATACCTCAAGATAGGGAGGACTATCTTTATTAACAAGCTGTATATGAAGGTATTTCTTAGTGTCGGCGCTAAAAAATAAAGTTATTAAAGTTTGGGGGTAGTTGCCCATAAGAAGCTGTCGGTTGCTGGAAGTGAAGTCTCGTCGTCCGCTTCGGAAAGACGTTTAATTTACATACATATATATAAGTTTTAAAAAAAATATGAAATCAAACTGACCTCATATTTTTCACAGTTTAAATGAAAGAGTGCTCTACCTCAAATCCTGTATCTATCCCAGGGATAAACACAAAACTTGAGGATGGACTCGATCGAATAAACTAAGAAATATATGACATCCGTTTGGTCTGCGAAACCGTTTTATTTGCCAACAAGTTTCCCTATTTAATACAAAGAATTAAATAGGGTTTATTTAAGCTGGGTTCAGAATAGCTTCCTATAAGGGCAAACCCCTATAGTTAATTACATCTTAAATGACCGAAGTCACTTAAGAAAACTCTCGATAAAAATCAGAGAATACTATCTTCAAAGAAGTCAAAAGGATAGGGCTTTTCAGCTTTTCAGATAGGGCTTTTCAACGAGATCGGATGAATATGTGTGAAAGGGTAAAGACTCGAATCTAGAACATTGTTGAAGAATCCAAATGAAGAGAAACTAGGGGAGGCCACGGATCCTGAGGCGAACCTCGGTAGCTTCTCGGTCTATCCTATGATTTGGCTTCAGTTTTGAGAAGAAATTATTCAAGTGTTTCATCTTGCCAATTTTATTTAATTATGACTTATATTTACGTGACATAGTCACACAAATCGCCTGAAAGATATGAGGGTTTACGTCGTATCGGACGACAACCTCGGAACCTAGAACGAGTTAGGGCTTAAATTGCACAGTCTGACTGTGCAAAGGCCTAACAGATAAAGTGAGGATTTATGTTGCGCTAGGCAAACAACATCGAAATCCTATGGCTTGTTGTTTAATTTCTAGGAAAAGAATGATTTTGCTGGGGAAGACATGTTCTGCTGTTGAAGATGATTGTGCTGCCCACCGCGCTAGCTCCAAGCTCCCCGATGTGACGAGTTTAAGTTTTCTGGGGTGTCCAGTTATGGTGTCAAATCAAACGGCCCTATGGTTATAGTCCTCTAAACATACTATATAAAAAGAAAACATGCTTAAAGCTATATAATATAAAATGTGTAATGCAGGAACAAACAGTAGAATGCATGTGAAACAGTAACAGGTAGAAACATGAACAATATAACATGCTATACAGGAAGAACAGTAGCAAGTGGAAACATGAATAATATAACATGTTGTACCGTACGGTAGCAGGTAGGAACAAAAATGGTATAACATGCTGTACAGGAAGAATAGTAGCAGGTAGGAACAGGAAAATAAAGTACTGAAAAATGTAAAACAAACTTATACGCCCGTAAGATCCGATGTTCCTTAAGTATAGCAAGCCTAAATGCATCTCAAAAGCAAAGTCTGGAAGAAAACGTCATCCAAGAAATCCGAAGAAGAGTGTAACAACGACTCATGACAGAAAACTCGAGAGAATCAACGAAAAAGTCTCAAGTAAAAGAAAATCCTCAAAAAAATCTTGGGGAAATCCCGAAAGAAAGGAAAAGTAACACGAGTGCCCTGTCCCAAAGCTTCGATAAAACAAAAAAAATTCGGATGAGGGGGACCGCAAGCACTCGTATGGGACTAGGGCCACTCGTCTAGAAAGGATGTCTTGACCTCACTTAGAGGGTTATTTCCCAGCCTAAACGGGTATTCGTCAGGTGGACAACCAGCTTTAAAGTGTGTTTTATGTTTTTTTTAACATGCATACAAATTTTAAACATGCAAAGAAGAGTTATCAATTTTGTTTCGTAGAAAAGTATGTTTTCGTTTGAAAATGGTTTATTAAAACTTATCTTTTTTTTTAGAAATTTTTGTTGTTCACGAGTCGATTACACTGTCGGGCGTGGGACTGTCAATTACCTGAGAAGGTTCGAGCCAACGCCCGCTAGACTTATGTCGGCGAAGGATACCATATCCTATTATTCATCAAATGCCTGGATCTTGATGTTATAGGATATGACATCTTTTTGCTCTATCTTCGGTGTGCCTTTATCATCAACACCGTACGCCCCAAAACGACTACTTGCGACCTTGTTTGATGGTTTCACGTATAGCAAAAGGCTATACGTGGACACTTATGTATCGGACATAAGCATCAAAAAGAACGAACGAAGAAGAAAGGAAAGAAAAGAACAAAAATGGGGTGAGAGAGAGGAGGCATTGATCCATCTAAAGCACCAAAAAGGAGAATGAATCAGTTCTCAAAACTCGTATCGAAAAGACCTGGAAAAGTAGGGCCCAAGGTCTTTCCTAACAAACATAAAGGGCCACTTCGCGCTAATTTTCTCAAACCCCAAAGACGTAGGATTGATCAAGTCCACCAAATGCTTTTCCAAAATGAGGTTTAAAATCTCCCAATCTTCAAAAGAAAATGATCTCGGGGAAACCACCATTAATATTTCCAAACTCATGCCGAAATCAAAATTCCCCCAACTTTCAGATCAATAAATAGCCTTATACGTCGAATGAGCATGAAATCCTCCCGCAGAACCAAATAAATACTCACGTCCGGGGTCAATAAAATAGAGGAAACAACAGCTAAGGCCTCGGCCAAAGTAACCTCAAGACCAAAAGAAACCTACGGCTCAAGGCAAACCCAAGACCAAAAGAAGCTCACGGCTAAGGCGAACCCGAATCAATTCCCTACAAGTTTTGATATACATAGGAGAGTATAAAACATCACCAATCTCTCAAAGTAACAAGTTTGATCCATCTACAATCATTCAAATGATTCAAAAAAGCTGCAAATAAATTTCAAATTTTAGACATGTACAAAGCAAGCTCAAAGGCTACGTAAATTTTAGATTTTCTAGCATGTGGAGGTGGCTTCCAAGTCAAGCCAAAACTTCCAAACTTTAACATGTAGAGATGGACACAAAGCTGCAAATAAATTTCAAATTTTAGACATGTACAAAGCAAGCTCAAAGGCTACGTAAATTTTAGATTTTCTAGCATGTGGAGGTGGCTTCCAAGTCAAGCCAAAACTTCCAAACTTTAACATGTAGAGATGGACACAAAGCTGCAAATAAATTTCAAATTTTAGACATGTACAAAGCAAGCTCAAAGGCTACGTAAATTTTAGATTTTCTAGCATGTGGAGGTGGCTTCCAAGTCAAGCCAAAACTTCCAAACTTTAACATGTAGAGATGGACACAAAGCTGCAAATAAATTTCAAATTTTAGACATGTACAAAGCAAGCTCAAAGGCTACGTAAATTTTAGATTTTCTAGCATGTGGAGGTGGCTTCCAAGTCAAGCCAAAACTTCCAAACTTTAACATGTAGAGATGGACACAAAGCTGCAAATAAATTTCAAATTTTAGACATGTACAAAGCAAGCTCAAAGGCTACGTAAATTTTAGATTTTCTAGCATGTGGAGGTGGCTTCCAAGTCAAGCCAAAACTTCCAAACTTTAACATGTAGAGATGGACACAAAGCTGCAAATAAATTTCAAATTTTAGACATGTACAAAGCAAGCTCAAAGGCTACGTAAATTTTAGATTTTCTAGCATGTGGAGGTGGCTTCCAAGTCAAGCCAAAACTTCCAAACTTTAACATGTAGAGATGGACACAAAGCTGCAAATAAATTTCAAATTTTAGACATGTACAAAGCAAGCTCAAAGGCTACGTAAATTTTAGATTTTCTAGCATGTGGAGGTGGCTTCCAAGTCAAGCCAAAACTTCCAAACTTTAACATGTAGAGATGGACACAAAGCTGCAAATAAATTTCAAATTTTAGACATGTACAAAGCAAGCTCAAAGGCTACGTAAATTTTAGATTTTCTAGCATGTGGAGGTGGCTTCCAAGTCAAGCCAAAACTTCCAAACTTTAACATGTAGAGATGGACACAAAGCTGCAAATAAATTTCAAATTTTAGACATGTACAAAGCAAGCTCAAAGGCTACGTAAATTTTAGATTTTCTAGCATGTGGAGGTGGCTTCCAAGTCAAGCCAAAACTTCCAAACTTTAACATGTAGAGATGGACACAAAGCTGCAAATAAATTTCAAATTTTAGACATGTACAAAGCAAGCTCAAAGGCTACGTAAATTTTAGATTTTCTAGCATGTGGATGTGTCTTCCAAGTCAAGCCAAAACTTCCAAACTTTAACATGTAGAGATGGACTCAAAACCACAAACAAATTTCAAATTTTAGACATGTACAAAACAAGTTCAAAGGCTAAGTAAACTTCAGATTTTCGAGCATGTTATCACGAATTAAGCCAAGAGTTGAGCAAACTAAAAGGTACAAGAAAGAGTCCTTAAACTTCATATGAAAACAATAAAAATCTCAAACATCCCAAGCATGGATTTTGGCCAACCAAAAGAGTAACAAACGACTAAAAAAAAAAAATTCACATGGAATAAGCCAAACATCGAACCATGGAAAGGAAAGAAGAATTTTTTCTTCAATAATCAAAATCACTAAGCACATTAAAGGTGCAAATAAGAATGCTAAAACCTAGCCTAAACAAAGCACAAACCAACCTTTACCTATGATTTGGATCAAAGAATGAAAATGGCAGCACTTCCCTTCTCCCCTTAAAATTTCGGCCAACCAAGAAGAAGCAAGAAACAGCCTCAACAACAATCCGAGGCAACCAAAGTGATTCAAATAGAAATCTGACAGCACCTCCACCCCTTGCAAAAATTTGGCCAGCCCTAAGGAACTCCCCAAATGGGGTTTTTATAGCCACAAAGGAGAAGAAGAAGTTACTGTCACTTACCTGGGCGGTGAGCCAAGCCAAGAGAAGCGACAAGAGTCGCGCGGGGAGTCGCGCGGGAGATGACGACAGGAATCGCAAAGGCGTGGGAGGGGAAAGCCGGAGCGCGCCAGAGGGAGTAGGTGGAAGCTTTTCGCAGGGGAGCAGCTCGCGTGGGGACAGAAGCACGGGGAGTGTACGACGATGGGACCTCGAGCCAGCGCATCACGTGAGGAGAACCAGGCTCAGCTAGGGCACGCGACCGAGAGAGGGAGAGGCGGGCGGGTTTGGGGAGAGGGAGGCGTGCGTGAGTTAGGGATTTAGGAATTAGATATTTTAAGGTATTTTAAAAAAGAAAATAAGGATTTTTTTATTTAAAATGTATATATATATATATATATAAATTTTTCACGACGATGCGACAAAATAGGTGTCCTCCCTAGGCAAAATTGACGTTCCGGACGCGTTGGCGCAGTCCGTTTCGTCATCCGGGGTCGCTCGGACGACGTCGTCGACGGTCGGGTCAAAAACGCGTCGAAATTCAAATTTCACAAAAATATTGACCCGCGATCGATTGTTTCAAAAATTTCATTCGAGTCTTCGACGGGTAACAGTGCAAGCGATGTGAATTATGACGATCGGACGTGTTGGCTCTCCGAATTGCGAAGTTTGTGCGCGCGGGAGTGCGGATTGTGCAGAAGATCACCCTAAGGCTCAAAAGGTCCTATAGGAATCCCTTTTGGGTTTCCTCATGTTGGTTTCACCCTTCTAAGTGCTAGAAGTCGATACCACACACGCGAAACTCCAAAATGGTACAGGAGTAGGTTTAATTTCTAGAACAAGGCGGGTCCCATTTCTAAGGTTCTAAGATAGTCGAAGGGAGGTCCCTAAGGCTAAATCCTAAATCCTAAGAGGAAGACTAGACCTCACAAAAAATGAGGTCAACAATTAATAATGAACCTCTTACAAATATTTGGGAACAGATACTCTTTTTACTTCAAAGCTCATACAGAATTGGGGAAATCATTTGTTATTGATCCTAAAAATCACAAATAAGATGGATCATACAAATCATCAAAACTTATTCCCACTTGTGATGGATGCAATTTCACATCATCAAAGCAAGCATGCACATAAAATTTGGAACAAATTTTAGATGATATTATAGAATAAGAGACTTGACAGTCCTCTCTTACCGAACTAAACATGGAGAAGGATATCATAATCTCAATTGCATCCATGAATATTGGGTATACATCTTCCATGAGTTAGATTATCGGTACCTTCCTATTGTTAAGGACATTGATGCAACAAAATATTAGCAGTTGTTCAATTCAAATGATAGTTAATAAAGCATTGAAGCTCGAATTGATAATTTTTTAGGAAGGTTTAAAAGAGATAAAAATTTATTAACATTCTAGTATCACTAGGCAACAAGCTAAGGGCTACAAATTATGTTTTCGCCTTACACATTTAATATGACATTCCTACATAATTCCTATGCATATTTATGATGCGGGAGCTTCCGACACAAAAAAAAAAAGTACTGTGGCACTGTATATGCTACAGTACAGCGGGATTTAGCAATCGCAGGAAACAGACCAAAACAGTAGCTTCCGGCACCAAAAAAAATACCACAGTACTATAGATGCTACAGTACAACGAGATTTCGCAATCGCGGGAAACATACCAAAACAGTCTCGTTTTTTTTTCTTGTGCTTTATTTCCTACTATTCTTCATTCCTTTTTAGTACTCACACGCACACACATGTATTGAGGTTTGGAATTCAGTTTTTGGCTCGAATTTTTGTCAAGACAGCCACCGGAGTCCGTTTCTCCCTTTGAGGGTTGTATTCGAGGGTTTGGGTGGTGCTCCAACTGCATCTCTCTCCCGAGGTAGTGTTTATCTTCCATATCTCTTTCCACACCCTCCCCGTGTTGCTCCCTACCACCCTCCATTATTGCAATCGCATCTTGTTGTTTTCCCTGCAGTTTCCCCAATCCAACCAATTGTCCTCTCTGTTGCGAGCCCGAACAGCCGCAAACTTGCTGTCACGCTGTTTCCCGCATCCCCCATCTCTTCCGCCGACTTCCCCAGTTGCTGCAGCCACCCGGAAATAGCCTTTTCAAGTTGTTTTCTGCTGTTCCAGCCACCCAACCTTCCATTCCTCTCCATCTAGCTTGTTGCCCTTTGTTGCAACTCCTCCCCTTCACTGCCGCCATCCACACCCTTTGTTGTCACCGCGCCTTCCATCCTTGACTTACTCCTTGCTATCTCATTGGAGGGCCAAACCCTCGCCGATCACCACCAACTCCTCCAGATCCCACACTAGCTTGATATTTGTGTTGTGTTTGTTGTTGTATCCGATTTTCGAGTGTCGTGTTGTTATATTTTTCCTTTCAAATGTATTCATTGTAACCACTTAATTGCTTCAAGTAATAATATTTGCTATTAAATTATAGTTTGGGTTAACTACGGCATCAATTTATTTTATAATGTGGACGCTTTATATATATATATAGTAGCTAAAGGAGTTGAAAATTAGAACAAATATAAAGTATCAGATCCAGCTTCCAATAAATAGAGATTGGCAGTGATTTGAGAGTAGACATTTAAGCGTTCAACGACCAATCAAATCAATGTTGGACCCAAAAAAAAGAAGGGTTTCTCACAACCAGTTGGTTCAAGCTCCAAACTCCTGGACAAGCCAATCAAGCTAAGCAAATGTGTTGAAAAAGCTCTAATTATACCGAGATAATGCCTGGAAAAAAAATGAATACCTGAAAAACTTTACCCCTTCTTAACTCCTTAGATGATGATCCATGTAAAGTAGTTCCAATCTTTTGCACATCAAAAGGCAAGCATGGAGACGGAGACGTTAAAGTATCAAAGAAGAGAGTTTACGAAAGCATGTGGCATAAATTCCACAGACCTGAGGGATAGGAATCCCATTTTCAGTATTTTGTAGCATGCCAGTTTCTGGATCAACTTGAAATAGGTTTGCCCTATTTTCTTCATGGAAAAAGCCAGGTTTTGAACTGTGCAGCTAAAAAGATTCAATAAGCTCCACCATGCTAATTTTAGACTACTATTGGTAGAAAAAGTGCGTAATGTTAAAAAGAAATGAAGTCGCATGAAAAATGAAAATAGGATCACTTCATAAACTCTAACTTTCTGCAAGGGCAAGTCAAGGATAACTCACAACTAAAAAGAAATGGACAAATAAGATCCATGTTAACTGAGATTTAGTTCTTATTTATAGGAGGCCATGTTGGGATGAGAGTAATTGTGGTTCTGCTTTTAGAAGAAATTGTAAACTCTGAGATGTGGTGCACATACAAAACAATTTCCACAAGAAAACCATCTTTTTTATTTCAAACTTACCCTATTAAAACATAACCTGCTAAATCAAAATGAAACTCCTGAGCTTGTTTTTTAATGATACAATGCATAAAAAAAAGCCAAAGCTAGTTTTACCCTCATGGTCATCAACCTTAAGTCAAAAACTGCAGGAGCATAGACAAAATAAAATTAAATATTAAGAAAACACTATCAGCACATCACACAAACATATAAGCATTGATAGATATGGAGCACTAACACAGCAAAAACCATGGCAACCTTAATAGCCTTAAAAATATTTAGGACACGACAAACCTAGAAAAAAAAAATAATGCGTGTGAATGAAAATTTCTGAAATATTAAACTCCAAGAAAAAAAACAATTTTGAAGATATCATAAAACATAAAATTTAGAAATATGTATAGTAAAAATGATCTTAAGAGAGTATTATGAAGAAAGAATTATAAAAATTTGTTTTGAATATAACAAAGTAAGAGTAGCATAGTTCACACCAAGCATCTCCAACTTATATTTATGTTGTGCCAATGTCTGAAAATTGTGGAAATTATTAAAGAAGAAGAAAAAACAGGAGACAAACCACATGGTGAGCCTGGCATGACATCCGACAGTGTAAAAATGTGAAGTGTCTTTGTTATGACAAAATGGTCATTTAAAAGTGATTGGTTTCTCATAAATATAAGCACATTCCGGTACCAAAATTATCAAAGAAAGAGTCACACCTGCCCGTAATAACCATGTCAAATTTTTCTATCCAATCAAGCTTGCGAGGCAAGCCAACTTCCATATTGTGGGTCCCACAGAGAAAACTCATAACAACATTGGTGTAGTCCCACAAGCTGCAATTTGCAAATTAGGAGATGGAAGTAACAAAATCAAAGCAATCCTTGAAATAAGAAAGATTCAGTTTATCTTGCTTCAGTCATTGAATTGGATCAGAAAAATTTTATTCACAACAAAAAATGCAAACAACAAAGCAATAAGAAAACTCATTACAGAATTCAACATAACATTGGCACCAAAATGTGCTGCAACGGGAATATGGTCATTCTGGGGACAAAATATCTTTTGCTGGTAAATTAGCGCATGTGAATATCTTGTTCTCTTGCTTGGGATCAAAAGAACAAATTGTTCGTGGTACAACATATAATTAGACAATAAATCAAAAAGGAAAATTGGCACTCGGTCCAATTGTAACTGACGCAGGAGCGAACTCCCAGATGCAGAAGCAGGGTCTCCCGCAGCGAGAATTCCTGCTATTGAAACGGCCGACCCAATTGAGGCCGGTCCAAGGTAAACCCAGACTGAGCTCCCTGGCAGCGGGAATTTGATGGGCAGGACTGCCGCCTGCCCCTCTCTTTCTTCCTTTTCTGCTTCTCCTTCATTTGAGAGATATTTATTTGTTGTTTCAAAGTTTAGGGGTTAGTTTTTCGGCTGTGTTCTACTTTCAGATTTCTTGTGTGGAGAGTTTTCCTTGTTCTAGGATTGTATCTGAGGAGGTGGTGGTGCTCCAGCTGTATCCTACTCCAAGTGACGTTGTATCCTTCCTTTTTACCATCCCTACTCCTCCTACCCTCTTTAGCAACCGCAGGCCTCCCCATCCTTCATCCCAACACCCAACCACCCTTCCCCCTAGTGCTTACTCTTGTTCTCAAGCTCCCTGGATGTCACCCCAACCTTCAACCACCCTGTACCTACAGTCTAGCATCCCTCCCTAGACTTCATCCTAGACCTGGTCGCCGTTGTTTTGCAGCAAAATCTGCTTCCCAACCCTCCATCATTGTTGTCCCTGCAGTTCTGTACCTTTCCCTCGCTATCACCAGCATTTCTTTGTTGTCACCACCCCTGCCAACCATCCCGATCAACCTAACTGACCTCGAACACCCTTGGAATACACCTTAGAGGTATTTGCTTGTGTCGTTTATGTTTTGTGTTATTATTTTTTGTTATGTTGTGTTGTAACCCTCTCTCCACATTAATAAAAGTTTATTTTGAGTTTTTCATTGTTTTTCCTACTTGGCTCAATATCATTTGGTACCAGAGCTAGCCCAACCCAGTTCTATCCTAGGGTTTCCTAACATCCACCTTACCCCTCTACCAAAATTTTTCATTCCTACCCTTAACCACCTCTTCCAATTTCCCCAAACACTATCTTCACTAAAGTTTTCCTTCCTATCCCTAAACCCTGGCCATACCAGGAGATAGAGCCTACCAGGGAAGAAATAAGGTGGGAGCTCCGTCGCTTTCAACAAAGGCTCGCAGAGATTGAAGTGTTTACACATGTAGAAGTTACCTTTGACTGAGATCTAAGGAGTCAAAGAGGAGAAAGATATGAGAATTTGAATCCCTTTCAAAGGGATAATTTCAACAATAAAGAAGATAGGCTGCGACGTTTCAAAATCCAGTATCAGAGGAGGCCTAGAAAGGGATATTTGAATTTCTCTCGGAGAGAATCTCGCAGAGAAGAGGTAACATTTGGAGTGGACAGAGACTTCGGCATCAAAGTCGATATGTTAGAGTTCAAAGAAGGTATGTATCATTACGAATTCATTGATTGGTTTTAAGTCGCTGAGTGGATCTTCGAGTATAAATATGTGTCAGACGATAGCCGGGTCAAATTATCAGCCATCAAGCTGAAGAAAAGTGCTTCTCTGTGCTGGGAGAATTGACAGAGGCGGAGAAAAAGAAAGGGCAATGATAGGATTACCTTATGTGAGAAGATGAAGAAAGCAATGCAGAGGAAATATTTCTCATCCCATTACAACTAGAACATGTTTCTGAGGCTTCATTACCTGTAGCAGAGGGATCTATCGGTAGAAGAGTTCACGGAGCAGTTTGATCATTTGCAAATGAAGCGTGATCTGACAGAGCTAGAGAAGAATACAGTAGCCAAATACCTTGGGGTCTTAAGCCTAGTATTAGCAATGTGGTGCAGCTACAGTCGCACTAGACGCCGGGAGATGTCCAGATATTAGCCTTGAAGGTGTAAAGACAGGAAAAGCAGCGCCAACAACAGTCATCCTTCAGGAAGCAACCTTCAGGCAGGTATTCGCCTACAGTTACCATGAGTGACAAAAGTGCCCCGGCAAACATAGCAAGGTCGGGCAAGGGAGTGGCTCTTCAGATCAGAGCGAGAAGAAACAAAATAAAGGTAGCTCCTCCAACACCGTAGCAGCTAGGAAATGTTATCAATGCCACGACTACCACCATATAGCCTCTAGTTGTCCCACAAGCAGGGTAGTCACACCCACAAATCAGGGTTCCATGGAAGAGATTAGCGATGAGGAGAAAGTTGAGGAATAGGATGAGGTGTATCATCTTCTACCAGATAAGAGAGAAGCACTTGTGATTCCACGGATTTTGCAGACCAAGAACACGAGGTATCCGCAGTGGCTTCGCCGCAACATTTTCTACACCTGCTACGCAATGAACAAAAATGTATGCAGTCTTATCATCGACGATGTTAGCAGCAAGAAAGTGGCATTGACTCAGATGGTAGATAAATTGGGACTTACGACGAAAAGGCATTCCCAGCCGTACTCACTGACGCGGATGAAGGAGAATTGGGTCAGCATCGACCAAAGGTGCTTGGTAGAATTTTCGATAGGAGTCCAGCTGCATGATAGGTGCAGTGTGACGTGGTCCTTATGGATGTGTACCACTTTCTGTTGGGACAACCGTGGTAGTTTGACTGGATGACTCAGCATGATGGATTCAAGAACACATTCATTCATCAAGGATGGGAAGCACATAATTCTACTCCATTTGGCAGAGCTTGAGATCACAAGAGCCCTTACCAGCAGAGCTGCGTCAGTGGGACTAGTGTTAGTGATGACACCAGACAAGAGGATTGAGAGACCCGCTCTAGATACACGACAAATAAGACTGAGGGTATTTCAGAGACTCACGATTGACATCGCATGGCCAGCATCACTGCAGAATGGGCTCCCCAACCTCGGGAAACTAACATGGCACCAGACTCCCTGAAGCGGGAGCGAAGTCTCCCGCAGTGGGAATTCCTACTATTGAATCGGCTAGGCCAATTGACGCTAGTCCAAGGTAAAACCAAGCCGAGTGGCCTGGGGGGGAGAGAATTTCACGAGGCAGGACTATCGCCCGCCCCTCTCCTCCTTCCTGTGGGAGATATTTATTTGTTGTTTCAGAGTTTAGGGTTTGCTTTTTGGTATGTTCTACTTTCAGATTTCCCGTGTGAAGAGATTTCACTATTCTAGGGCTATATCCGAGGAAATGGTGGTGCTCCGGTTATATCCTACTCCAAGGTGGCGTTGTATCCTTCCTTTTTACCATCCCTGCTCCCTCTCCAGTAGTGGCTGGCCTCCCCATCCTTCATCCCATCACCCAACCACCCTTCCCCTAAGTGCTTACTCTTGTTGTCAAGCTCCTTGGACGTCACCCCAGCCTTTAACCACCCTGTTCCTACAATCCAACATTGTTGTCCCCCCTCCCCAGCCTTCAACCCAACCACAATCATTGTTGTTCTGCAGCAAAACCTACTACCCAACCATCCATCATTGTTGTCTCTGCAGTTTCACATCGCACCTTCCCCTCGTTTTAACAAGCATTCCTGTGTTGCTACCACCCATGCCAACCATCCTGATCTACCTAGCCAACCTCTACTACGCTTGAAATGCACCTTAGAGGTGTTTGCTTGTGTCATTTATGTTTTGTGTCGTTATTTTATCTTATGTTGTGTTGTAACACTCTCTCTACATTAATAAAAGTTTATTTTGAGTTTTTCATTGATTTTCCTATTTGGTTCGGTATCAGTAACATTTCTGCCAAAAAGTTTTGCATAATTGTCGGCGCGGAAAAGGTAGTGGAGAGTTGCTCGTAAGAAGCTGTCGGTCACCAGAATCGAAATTTCGTCGCCCGCTTCAGAAGGACGTTTAATTTACATATATATGTATAATTTTAGAAAAATATGAAATCAAACTGACCTCATATTTTTCACAGTTTAAATGAAAGAGCGCTCTATCTCGAATCTTGTATCTATCCCAAGGGATAAACACAAGACTTGAGGACGAGACTCGATCAAATAAACTAAAAAATATATGACATCCGTTTGGTCTGCGAAAATCATTTTATTTGTCGACAAATTCCCCTATTTAATACAAAGAATTAAATAGGGTTTATTTTAGGCTGGGTTCGAAAAAGCTTCCTATAAGGGCAAACTTCTATAGTTAATTACATCTTAAATGACTGAAGTTACTTAAGAAAACTCTCGATAAAAATCAGGGAATACTATCTTCAAAGAAGTCAAAAGAATAGGACTTTTCAATGAAATCGGACCAAAGAGTGTCAAATGGGAAAGACTCAAATTCAGAACATTCTTGAGGAATCCAAATGAGGAAGAACTGGGGGAGGTCATAGATTCGGAGGCGAACCTCGGTGGCTTCTCAAACTATCTTATGGTTTGGCTTCAGTTTTGAGAAGAAATTATTCAGGCGTTTCATCTTGCCAATTTTATTTGATTATGGCTTATATTTGCGTAACACGGTCACACAAGTCGTCTAGAAGATATGAGGGTTTACGTCGTATCGGATGACAACCTCGGAACCTAGAACGAGTTAGGGCTTAAACTGCACAGTCTGGCTGTGCAAAGGCCTAACAGATAAAGTGAGGATTTATGTCGCGCTAAGCAGACTACCTCCAAATCTTATGGCTTGTTGTTTAATTTCTAGGAAAAGAAAGGTTTAGCTGAGGGAGACGTATTCTGCTGTTGAAGATGGTCGTGCTACCCACCGCGCTAGCTCCCAGCTCCTCGACGTGACGAGTTTAAGTTTTCTAGAGTGTCCGGGTGCAGTCATCCACACATCCT